TCTTCATGTTCTTATCTACAGATAGATATGTTTTTGACAAAGCTGCTACTGTAACTGTATCACACTATTTATCATATTTTGATCCCTAGTTTGATAGATTCATGAAGCTGGTTGATATTAATACARTCTCCATTTTACAGGTTAAAAAGCAAAAAAAAAAAAACAAACCAAATGAAAACAAAGGCCCTGACAAGGTGCTAAGTGGCCAAGCTTATGTAATCAGTTGATGAGATACTTGGTTTCCAGCCCACAGTACTTTCTATTACACTGCAATGTATTGATTGTAAGAACTTTCTTGCATGCAAGGTATAACCCTTATTAGGATGCTGAGTTTAATACCTAACTTGCTGAAGAAATTAGAATGAACACTAGAGTTTCTAAGCTGGATAAGGAAACTGACAGGTAAATGACTCATTTTTTAATCATCTTAAATTGTGAAGTGTGATACTTAAAACACAAAAAGTGCTCAGTAAATGTTTTTGAGAGAATAAATATCTGTTTCTTTTGAAAATATTATCTTCATGGATTTCTATTACCTATAGGMAGAAGGAACTTTTAAAGAAAGTTGGTATTCTATTAGAACAAAAGTAGAATTTTGAAAGATGTTTGAAATATAACAGTTAAGCATTGTTTTAAGAAGAAAAATCTAGGGCTGGGGTTGTGGCTCAGTGGAAGAACACTTGCCTAGCATGTGTGARGCACTGGGTTTGATTCTCAGCACCACATACAAATAAATAAAATAAAGGTCCATCAACAATAAAAAATATTTTTAAAAACAAAGAAGAATCTAGAAATATAGACATTAGTTTTATTCTAATAATTTATTTGCATTTGGGTAACTTGTTCCATTTTGCCACACCATATAAGAAATTAGCCAAGAGTTTTCATTTTAAGAACAAAGAAGATGAAAATGATTTTAGTTTAAAGCATTGTGAGAAGTACACTTGTCCAGGAATCAAATTCCTGGTAGTTATAGGGCCACCACCTATAGCACATGACCCTGTAAAATCAGATTATAATCTGCTCTGCTTCCCACTGAGGGTATTGTGAAGGTCAAATAAAAGAATATATTTGTGCAAGCTTTAAAAGAATTGTCCTGATGAGAAATATTATTTATCATTAGTCTTCAAACTGTTAGACCAGATTGAAAGCTATGAAAACAGAGCACTCTGATTACAAAGCAATACTTATGGATCTTTCCAAAACAATAATTAGGTAATATATATCCTGAGGGTGCAGAGGATATAGAGGGGAAAGAAGAACTTTAAAGATGGACACACATGAATATGATGCTAATTTTGGCCCTTAGGAGCTGGATGATATTTCTTTGGAAGTTACCTGACTWCTGGAAACCTCTTTTATCAATGATAAAACAGATATTTCCTCTGAACAAGTTAAATWTAAATTTGAAGAAAAATTTGTCTTAAAGTTAAATGATAAAACTATAGGTATGACGTGTAAATGTCTTTTAGAAAAATCCCTGGAAAGAAATAGGATTTGATTCATCTTCTTATTCACACTGAAAGCAGGGGCCACATTGACTGTCATAATTCAGAAAACTTCTAGTACCTAACATTTAGCTRTATGTATTTCTGAACGGAAAGGCCGGGTGAGAGGTGAGAGATAAAGATGAAGGAGTAGAAAGATTGTTCTGGAAGCCTGTATACAGAGTCCCACAGGTAGCACAGATCAGGAGGAGAGCAGTTCTATTGTGTTAACAATCATCTTTCCCTTTTTTCAAGTCATTTAGCTTCATTGTTCATAAACATCAGAGAAACATGCAAATTAGAGCATGGTGAAATGCTTTCATTTGGCCAAGAATGTTTTCAAAGAGCTCCCTGCTGCTCAGAAAGAGTCCTAAGCAGCTGGCTTCACTGAACTGTAGAACAAGCAAAAAGATGTTAAATAAGGATTAAGGGCTTTAGACAGTTAAGTATRAGATGTTAAATGTTTTCCCTGGCTTGTTTGTGGGTTTTTCTCTTAATTCACCATGCAAGTTTTCCATGAAAGAGCAGCTTCATGGGCTTCTCTGTTTTGGGTTATTATTATTATTTTTTCCTTTCCAGAGGGAAAGATAAGAATTTAATGAATTGGAAGATAAGAACCAGATATAAAGAAGCTTGTACTAATTTTTGGTTGTCTGCCCATTTTTAAGTCTCATTCCCCTCAGGCCCAATCAGCACAAATTGGTGTTAACTAATGTTATGTTATGAGTGAAATGGGCCTTGAAAATGGGCTACTTTTTTCATTTCTGAACCCAACAGTGTCTGTAACATAGTTTTTGTTATATAATCATGGAGTCCAGCAAGCCTCCTGGAGTACATGCCTACTACAAATATTTRGCCCCCTGCTCTATAGCTTCTTGGTTGTCCTTAGAATATCAGATGCCTGAGGGTGCAGAGGATATAGTGGGGAAAGAAGAACTATGAAGATGAACACACGTGAATATGATGCTAATTTTGGCCCTTGGGAGCTGGATGTTCTTTCTTTGGAAGTTACCTGACTTCTGGAAACCTCTTTTATCAATGATAAAACAGACATTTCCTCTGAACAAGAAGACTGGGGGTTGGATGAGAGTGGCTTTAATGAGAAGAAACCAAAGTACCCCCTTGAAGTCAATTGAAGTTAAATTGGTTAAAGAGCTTGGAGAACAAGAACTTTCCTTGATCTCATCTTATGAGGCTTGAAGAGCAATTTTAGGGTCTAGTACCATAATTCTTTCCCTCCCTTCTATGATTATGTTGTTTAGACCAGCTTATTTTTCTTGGTCACATCTTTATTGAGCATATATTATGTGAGAAGCCATCAGAGGAATATTAAGAAGGCTCCTTCTCTCAGCAGCACTTGTACATGTGTAAAAGGCTCCTTACAGTCACCCACTTAAAGGTTTACTTGGTCTAAGCCTTCAGCTCAGCCCAGTAGATGTTCACTTTGCTAGAGAGGAACTAGAGGCAAGGGTAGTTTCCATCCTCACAGAGAAAGAAATGCACACAGATTGTYCTGGGGTGAGGATGGTGTAAAGGTGGTTACCCTAGAGATTTACAAACACAAAGCCTTACATAGATTGATCTGTTATGTGGTCTAATAGGTAACATTTTCATTTGCAGTTAGAACCTTCGTGACAGAGTTTAAATTAAAGAAAACATTTCTTAATACTACCATGGAAAAACATTCAGAMCTACATGAAGTTGAAAATGAGATCACCAAAACAGTAAGTTTCTTGAAAGGACTATTCATTGTGAATCCTTTGTTTTCTCCAACATATTTCATTGAGAATTGGGGACTGCCTRGGGTCACCTGTATTTCTCCTGGGCCTCTTCTTTTATATTGGGAAGGGAAACTTCATGGTAAAGCAGAAAGCCTCTTAGAAACAGAAAAGAGGTGTTGAGAACTAGTGATGCCTGGTAGAAGTGTTTTTTAAAATGCATCTTCATGTGCAGTCCTTATCTGCCATAGTGTTTTTTTTCCATGTGCAAACTTAGTCATAGACAGAAGTGACATGCACCAGAGGGCTATTGGTGAAGAGCAAAAACCCAGAAAATCCTTGTGCCTTATCTGCTATTTACATATGGTATGACGTTCCTCCTATGTTTGAGAGTTTTTGGATAATGACACTTTTTCTACTCAAGGGAATGCCAAAGACCTATTAGTCCTGGTTATCTAAGGCTTGAAAATTCACTGTATAGATATTTAGGSATCTTTGATTCTGCTTCTTTCCCTCTTTGCCTGCTTTTTATAAGGAAAAAATGAAGAAGAAAGAAGAGATGAAAATGAAACTCACAATATGTTTAGTTTTCAACTTCTACACAAGTCAAAGATCTGCTGTTCAKAAAATTGAAATTTGCCATTATAATAGGTTAGAAATTAATTGATATCTAGTTTCATTTSTACTTGTTCTCCATGGGTGAGAGATAGTATATTAGCTAAGAATTATGTATCTATAGGACTGTGGATTTTATTTGTGTAAAATACAGATTCCAATTCCATATCTTATCTATTGAGCATCTACTCCATAACAGGAGTAGATAAAATATGCCAGATATTTTATTCTTTTTAGAGGTATTGTCAAAACCTTTGAAGATAGAAAACTGGGAGGCTCTGGAAGTTAATGACATTGCCTGAGTTCACACAGAATAGGTATAAATTTGGGGAACAGTTCATGAGCTAATCTCACTACTGAGAGCAATTGCAAGTTCAGGAATCCCTAAGACCACCTTTAATTTCAGTAATTTACTAGAAGCTATTATCCTCACTGTTGTGGTGAAGATTGCAGTAAAAGATTGCAGATTAAAAACAGTCATGGGGCAGAGTCCATGAGRGCTCCAGATGCTATTTCTAGTTGTCCTGTCCCTATGGAGTCATGGGCAGTATATTGTCAATCAGGAAACTCACCTGAGCCTAGGTATCTGAAGCCTTTATTTGGGCTTATCTCAGTCTCTGGCACCTCTAGAGGCTTAGCTAATACCATGTCACCTAAAGCCCTCATCATATATCATAGTGTTAGACTCCTTGATATGGCCAAGGACCCCCAGGTAAACAAAAAACATTTTTATATTTTTTCTTCCTTTTTAAGTTGGTACATTATATTGTCCATAGTAGTGGGATTTGTTGTCACATATTTATACTTGCACACAATATAACAATACTATTTAGCCAGTATCACTCTCCAGAGACATTTATAGTAGACAGTACAGTCCAAGGGCTTAGAAATTATCTTGCAAAGGCATGGCCTTTGCTACACAGCCTGATTTTATGTCTGCTAACCCTATACCTTGTCACTCCATCACTGCTGCCTCCTGATTGTGCTATAGGTAGATATTTCCTTCTAAGGTAGTACAGGGGTTTAGAACCCTGTGTAGGAGTGTGGTTCTTTACATTACACAGAACTCAATGACTTATCTGCCCAGCATTATAGTGTAATTTATTAGTGATGTGACACACCTGTCCCCAAGAAACAGTGAAGAATTAAATAGCAGCTGGGGAAGCYACTTGTTTGGTCTTTGCTAAGGTGCCATTCTGTCAAATAATACCTGGGAGAAAAATTAATAATAAAACAGAAATAACAAATCATTGCTATAAGACCATATAAAGAAATGTCAAGCAAAGCCAAAAGTCATTTGATAATACTCCAAACTTGACTCCATCTTCTTTTTTTAAAATATTTTTTTTACTTGTAGATGGACGCAATACCTTTATTTTATTTGTTTATTTTTATGTGGTGTTGGGGATTGAACCCAGTGCCTCACGCATTCTAGGCAAGTKCTCTACCACTGAGCCACAACCCCAGCCCCTTGAGTCCATCATCTAACCAGTGAGATGGCTCTGAGACACTGGCTTGAGGACTTATGGCTACACATAGAGCAAGATATTGAGACCCTCTGCTCCATAAAAGGAATCTATAGCCCCTAATACAGAGGGCAGCAAGGAAGTATACATGATACTGATACTTTATGGTGTAGAGATATTTTCTGTGCTCTGAGGGCACAAGGCAAACACAGGGAGAGTGGCTCTTAATTTGCTCTCAGCAAAAGAGCTCTTGACCCACATAATGTAATTTCCCATGGAGAGCCTTTTTGAAGAAGACCTATCTTTGAGTTAGGTCAACTCATTGTATTTTAGGAGGGGTCTGATATAGGACCCATCAGACCTGGGGAAGCTGAAAGGAGCCTGTTCACTATGCAGAGTCCAAATAAACAGTTGCCTCTAAGTTTTTTGAAACCTTGGGTGTTAGAAGAAATCTGYTCCTTTGAAGATGTTTTGCATCCAAGGGTGCTGTTCTGAACATCATTTCCTGCCAAGATTTCCCCACTGATTTACTATTCGCCTCTCTCCCTTTGTATTTGGGGAACAACAGAAAAGCATTTAAGAGGGGAACAAATAAAGGACACCATTTCTGTGTAAAGCTGCCTGCTGATCACTTGATGGCTGGAAAATGCCTATTTTATCCTGAAAATAGGAAATTGGTTCTTGGTCCAAAGCTTTTGTCTAAATCACAGTTAATGACAAACTGTTCTTCTTTGCAGTTAAATGTGTGTTTTTCAACGTTACCTGGTTATATCCGATCCACAGTTCATGCATCTAGGTAAGAAACTGAATTATATTTGCTTATGATCCAGTCTGTGGAAAAGGGAGGCTGTTATAAGATGGGTGATGGCAACAAAACTTGACTCTATTTTGACCAAGCCCCTGGGTGACCCAAGACAAATGGGACTTTATGTTCTCCTGTTCCCTCACTGGAAAATGGCTATGATACCTACTTTCCAAAAGCCCTGGGGCCCACATATAATTTTAGGTCATTTKGGGTCAATTAAAGACTCAAAAACTGTGCCCACAGGGAATCCAGTGCAGTGGTGATCTCACTGCAAACCACCTTTTCCCTGACTTCCAATGTGACGCTGTTTGACTTGGCCGACGGGATCCAGAAATGTGTCAACTCCTGCAGGTCCTCTGCTGAGGTTTGCCAGCTCTTGGGATCTCAGAGGCGGATCTTTAGAGGTAAGAGAAGTAGAGGTCCTCTAAGAGGACTCTGCCCATGTAGTCAGGCACAGACCTGAAAGTATTCTGGGTTCAAATCCCGAATAGGCRCACACTCGCACACAGCCTGTGGGCRCACAGTCTTGAGGGCACCTGTCTTTGGCATGTGGCCCCTTCTATTTCTTCTGTACAGTATTAGGGTGTGAGGAGAAGGAACATAGAAACTGATGTTACAAAGAAAAACTCTTTTTGTTCCCTGAAGAGACAGGAAACTCACACATGAAGTATATGTGCTTGTCAGTGACCCCAAAACCTTCATAATGATAACTATAAAGTAAAAAAGGATGTGCATTATTACCTATGGGTGTGTGGGTTGTTTTTTTTTAAATAAATTATAAACATATAACAAGACTGGTAGGATGTAGGGCCATATGCTCCCCATGAGAGTTTTCCTTTTCTTGTTCTTGCTTTGTCTGTTTTATGAGAAGCTTCTGCAGTGCATATAGGGTAAGGCAAATGAAGAAAGAGTTTAGAGACAAGTTCAGAAGGCAAATTTGGGTCTTGAAGGGGGAGTTTTACCTCTGGGTTGGGAAATCTGTGTGGAATAAAAAGTGCTTCTTCGCCAAGGGGACTAGTCCCACTTGGCACATCATAAGTGATCAAAGTGGACTCTGGTTAGCTCATTTTACCACACAGCTTAGTCTGKCAAAGGATGTAGAATCTAGTCAAAATCTCCCCATCTGGTATCCAGATGTTGGACATAAATTGAAGGTATCAAATTTTGGCACTCTATCTGCTGGTCAATCTGGGACACTCCCAATGGGTCAGGGTTTTGTAACTGTTTTCCCATGTAGGCCTCTGTATTGTGGAGCTTGGGAGCTGAATAGTTATCCTTTTGTTCTGGGATAAGCACTGGAGGTTGGCCTATTTAAGGGCTAGTTAGTTATTAATTTGGGGTAGGGGAAAGGACTAAACTTTTTGGAATCAAAGGGACTACCAACTACGGAGTTAGTTGAAAAGTTTATGCCCCATTATTTAGTGCTGGAAATTTGGGACTTTGGTTTTTCTTTTTTGTTTCTCTTGCTAAAGATTCAAGGGTACCAATTTTTCCTTCCCAATGAGGTAGTCCCTTTCATTTCACTAAATATTTATGGAGAAACTTATATGTGTGGTCAGCATTGTACCATGTTATTATTTTTTCACCAGTAAATGCATTGTGTCTTGCAARTCAGGTGGCCAGATATTTTAATTTCTAAGAGTTCACAGCAGCCCCACCTTCTCTCTGACCCCCATTCTGTARACTGCTTGGATATGGCTTATGGGAGGGTGCCTGTCGTCCTTGCTTCCTTGCTGAGGCACTCATTCTGTATTTCTCCTTTCCCACCACTTGARAACAAAGACAGTTATGCATATTGTCTGGAAATGGGATCACTTCCCTGTTTTTTCCTCCAAGGACTTCTCCAGATTTTGCCAACAAACCCAACTTGGTCACTTGCTAACAGGAAAGTGCAAGAGAGGTGAACTTGACTACCAGGAGCTGTGTGATTCTGACATCTGGATGTTTCCAGCATGTGGGCAGCACTGTGTATTCTGGACATTCCCATTGGAAAAGAGGGTTTTCACCCTTTGATTCACAAAATGTCTATTTCCCTGCCTTTCAGAGAAATGCAGTTCTCATGATCTCCAGAGATTTAGAGACTTTGGAAATCCCCCATGAAATGTCTCAGTCGTAGATTTACTTTAAGTGTCCATTGTCTGTTTAKCGGATGTTATACCCAGGAAAGACCATGGGAATTGTGAATGAAGAAAAATCACATCACCAGGCTTTCAATGAAAATGAGACTATTTGTGGTTCTGTTGGATGGATTTATAATAGAATCTTTGAGAATTTTTAGGAAAGCAGTCTCCATTGCAGAGGCAGACTGCTTTCCCTCTTTCATATGAATCTGCTTCTGTGCAGGGAATGATGGCTTCAGCACTGGATCAGTGGACAGGATGGAAGGAAAACATGACATTGGCTCCCAGAAAATATCTGATCAGGCCAGGCAATTCATGCTAGCTACTAGACAAGGCTACTACAGCCTGGACAAAACTGTCTAACCTGGAGATATTTCTTTTTATTAAGGCTATTGGATTGGCAAAGTATCCAAAGAATTCAGGTAGTGGTTTGTTGAAGTTTAGTACCTCATTGGTACCAGTTTTGCAGTCTTTGCCTGATGAGATTTTCCATTTAAAATTTTTTCCATTAAATGCAAAAATTTTACAATAAACAAAGGAAATTCCATCACATTACAAACAGAGTTCTGATTTAGCATGCCAGCTTCCACTGATAAAGGCAGGAAACTCAGCAATGAGAACTAAAGTTGTGTCTGAAACTTACCTCACTGCATCTAGGCTGTGCCCTAAAACTTACAAAATGGGTAGATGCTGGATGTCCTGTGTGGGTTTTTGAGCCCTAGTGTCAACTCCCATCTCTAGAACCTGCCTGGCCAAGGGGCAGTTTTSCTATAATTAACAACTGGTATCTGGCTTCTGAATAAGTTGGGATCTTTTTTAAGGTAGAGGAGGGGAGAATATACCTGGAAAATTGGCAGACACTCCTCAYAGCATATTATACACATTGTCCTTCCCATTGCAGCTCTCTTCCCATTTGACCTTGCTCTTGCCTCCCAACAACAGCAAAAGCACATATCTATCTTACCTGGCCCTGTACATGGGTATAGATAAGTCACTATTCACTATCCAATTGGTTTCATATTTTTGTCTTACTGCTTCTGTACCRCCATTTACACATGACCTTTTTGTTGGGCTTATCTTAGATGGTAAAATGCTCCCTTATTGTGTCTGCTATATACAGCCTCATAGAAAACCATGGACCAATCAATAGTTAATGCCTTTTGATAGTAATGAAATGATTCTTTGTCATCCATGAAATGAATAAGGCCCTAGAATAAATATGGAAACAGCCTGAAAGATGGGCTCCTTCCTTGCCTGCCCCTGCTTCTTTCAGCAAAGAGACTAATGGAATGATGGCACCTTTGGCATATATGTACCTAGCATTCTCTGCACAAGGATCCAAAGACCCCAGAAGTGAATAAGGCCCAAGAAACCATTACTGTAGTGAAGGGAACAGCCAGACAAACATAACTGTGCTCTAGCCCTGGGCAAGCTKAGTTTTGTTTGTGCCTCTCTTTGTAGGTCTCTGTTGGTTAATTTACTTTCAGGGCAGCAAGCTACTCTATCATGAGGAATGTGCTGGGGCCTTCTAGGTCATACAGATAAACAGAACTGAGATACACTTGAGGCAGGTCTGACCAGCACTAGTTGTTTTTGGTCCAAGTCTCTAAGCTACCTAAGAGCGTGGTCACATTTCTGGGTTTATTCTAATCCTCCCACTGTCCCACTCTGTCTTTTAGTATGAAGGATACCACAGTGGAATCACATTTGCAATAGGTGACAGAAGAGGGGAAGCACCCTATTTCTTTCCAGTTTGGTTTTTCTGTGTGGGTGTTCTCAGTGGGGAACACTTGTGACCATTTAGTAAATAGGTCTGGGACTGATACAGGGAAGGAACTGCAGAAGGCATTGCAGAGTGAACATCTAGAGGAATGTTACTCTATAGAGACTCTTTGGGAAATTCTCAGATTCTGTGAATAGCAAGTTCATGCATCTTACAGTTTGAAGTTTTGTTTTGTTTCACTGTCTTGTTTTTCTCATTCTAGCSGGCAGCTTGTGCAAACGGAAGAGTCCAGAATGTGACAAAGAGACCTCCATCTGTACTGATCTGGATGGTGTTGCAYTATGCCAGTGCAAGTCAGGCTATTTTCAGTTCAACAAGATGGATCACTCCTGCCGAGGTAGCAACAGGTTTGCTGGTGTTTCTGGGGACAAGAAGATGCTTTTCTCTGCCCAGTATAGGAGCGCTCTCTCTCTTCCCCTCTCCCCCTCCCCCTCCCTTTCTCCTTCCTTCCCTTTCCCTCTGCTCCGAATGTGACTCCTCTTAACTGGGGGTGACTGTTTTTTGTTAWTTTGCTCATAGCTGGATTGAATACTTTATCTCCTTGGAATAATAGCATTATTTCCCACTGGTGCATGTTGGTCTGGTCAATTGATTCAAAAGAAAAGAAAAGAGAATGGAATGCCTATGATAGCAATGCCTTAAAATTTTTTTTTCCTACTTAGAGGTAGTTAGAAAAATTATTGTTCTAATTTTTATCGGTTGCCTGCTAATCTCTTAAAGTGGAAATACAAGCATGGAGTCAGGTCTGTGTCTTTTAGGGACATTTGTGGCTCAGTAGACAGTGTACTCAACTAAGGCCCAAAAGACCTGAGTTAGCACCCTACTTGGCCTCACTGTTCGAGTTTCATCTTGGATAAGTCACTTCATTTCTCTGAGCCTCAGTTTCCTCTCCCATGAAATGTGTGTAATGGTGCTTCTTTACATATTCTAGGAATTAAAGAAGGCAGTGTATATAGAGGTATTTTTTAGCTATCAGCATTCCCTCTTGTATTTTGCCCAAGTTGTTGTTAAATTTTTAAAAAATATTTTTTAGTTGTAATTGGACACAATACCTTTATTTTATTTATTTTTATGTGGTGCTGAGGATCAAACCCAGGGCCTTGCATGTACTAGGTGAGCATTCTACCGCTGAGCCACAACCCCAGCCCCTTGTTGTTGAATTAATGAGTTATAGTTTTAAAGTTTTCATGAAGTGTTTGAGAGCAAAAGTCTAATTCTACTAACCTTTTAGGTGAGGATTAAATTTATTCAGTTTAGAATAAAAACTGCTCAATGACTATAATCTAAGAATRTTACTTTAAAATAAAATAAATTCATGTCCAGAGCACTGTATACCCTGACATAAAAGACTGCTATTAATTTGTGATCATTAGAAAAACTGCCAGTATGAAAGCTAGTTTTTCATGTAGTTCTAAGTATTGCCTCCCATTAGAATGTGGATGGCACAGATTTCCTGTTCAGTCAGCACCTTGATGGTAACAGATATATTGGGATCTGAGTAAAAAATCACATACTGGGGCAAGGTGAAATGCCCCTTATTTCTGTCAGGACTTCCTGTTAGAGGACTTGTTCCATCAGAAGAATATGAAAATATATTTCGGGGCTATACTCGCCTCCTGAGCTCCAGACTCTGTCCTTGTTGTGTTTTGATAGAGTTCCGAAGTATACATCGTCAGTTCTCCAAGTAGGACCTGTGATAGGTTTTGAACAGGAAGGCCACATCTCTGAGTTACACAGCAGTCTTGACACATGACTGGGACACAACCTTTCTCAGTGTTGTGCCAGACTGCTGCTTAGCTACAAAGAGATAATGCTTTGTAATTCCCTCTTATCTGGCTTAATGCGAATGTGCCTTGCCCCTTTTAAAAACTGGGAGTTAAGCCCAGCTTAAAGTCCATGTGTGCTGGGGTATGCAGATGGCAGGAAGGGATAAAAGGTGGGCAGCAGCTTTGGCATGTAGGGGAGATAGCCCCTGTGAGTGGTGCTTCAAGAACAATCTTGCCTGCTACCCTTGCTTTTGGCTGTCCTGAGCCATATTTCTTTGCTGCCAAGTCAGCAATTTTATAATTGTGTCACAGGCTAGCATTAGCAATAGCAGAGCTGTTAGAGATTTACCAAATGTAATGGTACAGGCACCAACAACCTTATGTTTACCAAGTGATGACCTGAGAAGCAACATAAGGAAATCTTGAATAACTTTTGGACTCTTGCCAAGGCCCTGTGAAGCCTCTTCTCAGCAGTGCCTGTGGCCATAAGGCCTCTGGTGAATGGATCTAGAAYTTCTTGGATTAGAACTTCCTGTCAGCTAGGTTCTGATAGATTAGCAGTGACATCTTCTGGCCATCAGTGCTGGAGCACTGGCATATTTTAAATGATAACTCTTTCGGATGCCTCAGATCTGGTCAGTCGTCTGTGTAAGTGGAGGGTAGGGGTATGTGTATGTTTTTTCTAATCACTGAAATTCGGGCTGTATATTAGTAAGTTTCTGTATTGTTCTCTGTTGTATGCACATGTACACATGCACACTTCTTTTTTTATGTTTATTTTTTAGTTTTAGGTGGACACAATATCTTTATTTTATTTTTATGTGGTGCTGAGGATCAAACCCAGTGCCTCATGCRTGCCAGGYGAGCGYACTACCACTTGAGCCACATCCCAAGCACCATGCACACTTCTTAATGTCTCACATAAAACATCTTTACCAGTCTTTCAAAGCTACATATAAAATTAAAAATAAATATAAAATTAAAAATAGATGTCCCGGGGATAGGGCTGGGGCTCAGCAATAGAGCACTTGTCTAGCACATGCGAGAGGCTCTGGACTCGATCCTCAGCACCACATAAAAATAAATAAATAAAATAAAGGTATATAAAAAAATAGATATCCCTCCTATAGGTTTCTTAGCTTCCTTTCATCATGCATGGGAAATTCTAAGGAACCATTGTCATCTGACCAGATTACAAGTTCCTTGAAAACCAGAACCATATTCTAGAATAGGGCCTAGTATGTGGGAGGGTTCAACAAATGTCTGTTGAGTAAGCWCATGGACAATAGGGTAGCAAACATGGTAGGAAAAGAGTGGAACATCCTSACTTAGGTTCTAACAAGGGAACAAAAGAGTTATTAAGATCCCACCATTTATTTAAGTCTATAATGCTTGAATTTGCTTGTTTGCCATAGCAATAGGAAAAGCCCAGTTGAGCACATATGCAAGTTCTAATCACATTCTTTTCATCTTAATGCTCTGTGGTGAGTCCCTCTGGGGTGTATGCAATGAGAAACCGAGTCCTAAGGAACATGGGAGTGCCTTACTGACAAGGTTTCCCCTAAGATCCTAGCATACCAAGCACACAGTAGCATAGCACTCAGTCTTTGATGAATGACTGAATGACTCCTTTTGAAATGGAGAAATGTCATTACTTCAGGGAATTAGGCTACTTCTGAAGCTAAATGAAGATAGCSTAACCCATTAACTCTCAGTCAGGACAACAGATGGACCTTATACATGACTGGATGACAGCCAAAGAGTAGAAAGTTCCCACCCAACAGACAAGGATTGGGTAGGTAGATTTGATGTGAAAARCGTTTCCAGGAAGTGGTGTTCAGAATACAACAGACTGCTGAAGTAGAAGAAGTGAGCAGTCCTTGTGTAGCTGCCCTGTAGTGTGAGCCATAGGTCACATCTGGGTGGTTCCCTCACTTTCACATCTCTGATGTAACATGATGCARATTGATGCATTGAGAAGAGGATCATTAGGGCACAATGCTTTCTGTGTCAGTCTGGGATGTGCAAGAGTACTTGCTTGTTCCAAAGAGAAGGTCCCACTCTAGTAAAGGCAGCAGAAAACTCAAAGGTTTAACTGATTATAAGATGATTATACTCTACCTTGTTGCATAAAGGAGTTGAAGCACTTAATGGAAAATCATATAATGAAACAAAATTTTAAAATACTTTAAAAAGATAAATTAGGTTGAAGGGAAAATTAAATACTTTGTTGAGGCTAGAAGGAAAGTGAATATGCAGAAAGATAAACCATAAGGCCCTGTAAGTTTGCTAAAATAAGCCTCTCATTTAAGTTCTGAGCTTCCTGGATACTAAAGTAAAAATAGGAACATGACTTAGAAAATAATTAGGATCCATAAAATAAAACTCAGTCATTCAGRGAGCAACTGGGAAAATATCCATCTTTCTAGGCAGTAGGGCCAGAGAGAAATTTCTCTGGGCATCYGCAGCAAGAGGTTACTGAGTGGTATTGTGGCAACATGGTCTGCATCATCCTGTAGTAAATGCTATATGACTTTCCTATAGTGGTTTTTTATTTAAATACATATGTATGTGTGTGTGTGTGCACATGCACACATGCGTGCATATGTATATGTCCCTCAATACGAGAGTAAGTATCTCARGAAAAGTGATTCTGTGGGGCCCAAACAGTGTAATCCAGGTTCACAGCTCTTTAGTGATCTGCAATCTTAAGTTACAGATTAATTTAGAACACTGTTTTCCTGAATGTGTTCCATGAGACTCCAGTAATATGTTCAAAGATAGTTTATAACAGTAAAATAGATTTAGCTTCTAACATTGTAAATGTATAAGAAGAAAGAATATTAAACATATTACACAGTTAACACTATCAGGCACAATTCTAGAATAGAGGATACTAGGGAATCTGTGAAAGACCTTTAGACCTAGCCTGCAGGACGTTCTCCTCCCTCCTTCATCTCACTGTCAGCCACACACACTGCTGCATTCACAACTCACCATTAGTGCATGTCTGCTATCTGTTCAGGGATGGCGACTGGCAGCTCTGTACCTTTTTATCTGTGCATTTTTATGCAGTGTCTATTGTACATTAATCATGAATTAAATTTTTATCATTCTTTRTTTTAAGGAATTTGTCTATGAGGCCATTTTTCATTGTCTGCTTTCATTCAAGCATGCATTGTAGCTTGTGGTGTTCTGTTGAGTTATTGTAACGTTGAAAGTATTCTGTGATGATATAAATTTGGGAACCACTGATCCAAGGGAATAACTGAACTGGGCTTCTATCCTTTCAGTAAAGCATGTTCTGGAAGTAGCATTGCCAGAGGGTTCAAAGTTATGTTCTTGGGTACCAGTTAGGACACATCTAGATATGAACAGAATCCCCTTCACAGACTCTCATGAAAACCTGGATGCCCWTTACAACTGTGCCCCAGAGAGTGTAATCCACTGCTTCTATCTCCTTATGGAAGAGGGCTAATAAGGCAATATCTGGTTGAAGATTTGATTTACATCAAAGAAGGTGAAACACTTGTCTTTGAGCATATGGAATGATAATTCTACCAGAGACAGTCCTTATCTGTATGTATATAGAACTTCCTTAAAAAATTGCATTTTGGGGATAATAATTACAACTATAAACATTTACATAGTGATTACTGTGTACCAGGCCTATGCTGAAACACTTGGTACCTTGTCCATGAAACTATAAGGTAACTATTTATAATTTTCTTTCTATTAAATGGGAAACAGAGCCACAAAGAGATTAGCAAAAGTTTCTTGATTATGTCAAAAGGTGAGCTGGCAGCAGTGTTTAGGTCAGGTTATAGAAAATTTAAAGCAAGGGCTGGGTGCTGGGACTCAGTGGCAGAGCACTTGCCTAGTGTGGGTGAGGCACGGGATTCAATCCTTAGCACCACATACAAAAATAAGCAAATAAAATAAAGGCATGCTGTCCATCTGCAACTGCAATAAATAAATAAATAAAWATTTAAAGCTATTTTCAGACTCTGGTTCTGGAATATGCTTGTGGACTTCAAGATGGGGAAGGGAGATAAATAAATACATTCATGGTTTCCTTTTCTCTTTCAGCATGTGAGGATGGATATAGGCTTGAAAATGAAACCTGTATGAGGTAGGGTCCATGTTCTTTTTTTCTGATGAAATTGCTACAAATCTTATTATAAAAACTATTCTAAAACAAAGTCTATCCTAATAAAGAACTACTCCAACTAATAATGGTGACACACACCTGTGATCCCAGCTACTAAGGAAGCTGAGGCAGAAATGTTGCAAGTTGAAGGACAGTCTGGGCAACTTAGCAAGACTCTTGAATTTTAAAAAATAGGTGATAGAGTGCTTTGGGAGGTCATAGGTCCCCTACAGTATTGCAAAAACAAAAACCCCAAAACAGCTTAAGAAATTACTTTAGTAAATTACCTCCATTATTTCTTTTTAGATTTGAAACTGATTCTTGTTCTTTTTTTCTCTCTTGAACTTCCAGTTGCCCGTTCGGCCTCGGGGGTCTCAACTGTGGAAACCGTAAGTATATAAAAGTGGAGAATTACACTTGGCAGTCCTGGACTGGTATCAGTGTATAGGGTATCAGTCTTGTCCCATTTTCCTCAGTTTAAACCCATTATCTTCTTAGGACCTGTGCTGTGTGGAATGGGGAAAGACTTGCCTGGTGCTCACTAAGGGCTGAAGACAGAGAGGGAAGATAAATATTCTTTAATAGCCCCAACTATGGGAGTGTTAGTGTGATAAATCAGGCATGAGGCGGGAGGCAGAGACCATGCCTAGAAGAGAATGCAAGGACCCCCAGAGTGTTTCTTAGAGGGGATGGAATTGGAGGGAGGATTGTAAAGAATGGCAGATATGAGGGAAGAAGGACATTCTTGACAGAGGCAACCATAGGCCTAAGGTATTCTGGGGACAGTTTTTAAGTGGATATTGCTATAGTATATATACAGAAATGCAGAAAGAATTGTTGGGGTTTGATCACCAGGCTGAAGAGTTAGACTCTAATCAGTAACTGGTGATCTGGCAAGAGTCTTAGGACAGGAAAGCAGCTTGATTGAGAAGAGTACCTYGGGCTGCAGAAAGGAGGAGAGAATGGACAGAGGAGAACATGGGAGTGGTTTGGAGACTTCCAGTATAGTGCCATCTGGGGGTCAGTGCTAGAGACCACCTTGGGARTCATCTGCTTTAAGCTGAAGCCTGCATCTTGAAGTAGAAAATGGAACACAGAGCAGTGAGAATGCTGGTAGGGACTGGGAGCATAGTGCACTGCACACCTAATTCAGTACTTTTTTTTTTTTTAATTTTTTGATAGTTGTGTATAGACAGCATTCCTTTATTTTATTTGTTTATTTTTATGTAGTGCTAAGGATTGATCCCAGTGCCTCACACATGCTAGGCAAGCACTCTGACTCTGAGTTAGAACCCCAGCCCTAATTCAGCTCTTTTATGAGTCATTTAAAATCACATTCACTGACATTTTCTTATAGGTATCAAGACATTACAAATTTAAATTATCATCAGAATCAGTAAAGAAATTCTGATATACCAAGAATAATAACAATCAAGATTTCATTTTATGTAGCTTTATCCCTCATTCTATAGATAAAAGTTCAAATGGCATATTATTCTAAGTTTTCTTGTTTAATAGTAGACATATGTCTAGTAGTGGACATAATTTTATTTATTGTGTACTCAGTTTCCATTTCCTAATGTTATACTTTATCTTTTATGTCCTCAATGGCATTTTCTTTATTTATAAAGCTTTTCTGTTAGCAAATTTTATAATTAAAATTTGAATATAAGAATAGAAATAAARTAAAACAGATTCAATATTGGGTACAAAACTGACATAAACTCTCTTTGATTCCAGCGTGGAGTCTTTGTAGCTCAGTCAGTCTAGAGACTTAGAACTGCATTTAGGATTACTGATGACTTTAGTCATTTGATTTATCCTGACTGCAACTAGCAAGAATTTACAATAGGAAACCTGCGAGAAGGACTGAGGCATCCCTTCTAGAAACAAATATATTTAGAGTCATAGGAATAGACAGAGAGAGGAACTCACAGAATTAGTATTCAGTTCAATAGAAGTAGCAACCCGAGGCTGCTGGGTGCAGTGTGAATAACCCCATGCTCTTTAGTGGTGACTAAGGATGMTGAGGTGCATAACACCATATAAACACAGAAGTTCATTATGACACACCCGAGTCATCCCTACAGCAAATGATGTTCAGAATACTCAGTGTAGTAAGGCAAGAAATGTTATCATTTTTTAGATMTTTAAAAAATTAGAAAGTAGTCAAGATTCTTGTGTCAGTGCTTTAACTTATAAGGGTATGACTATGAAAACAGTCTGGTAATAATAGGTATTCTTTCTAAAAATCATTTTGGGGGCTGAGGTTATGGCTCAGTGGTAGAGAACATGCTAAGGCCTTAGTTTTGATTCCCAGCACCAGAAAAATAAARTAAATGAAAATCACCTTCTAGATAAGCTAATGTCTCACCTGGGGTCCAAGTATTTCTCTTTTTTAAAGCATAAAGAGAATATCTGTGCTTTAAAAGGTGTTCCTGGGATGCAGTATTGCCTGTGTTTACTTTCTAGTGTACTAAGTGGTATTGCTGCTTTCCCCACCCCTAGAGATCATTAACTACTATATGTATGGAGATGCTCCTGCATTCATTGAATGTTCGGTAAGTTCTTTCGTCAGGAAAAGGGTCATCCCCATTATGTTTATGGGTCCTGGAAGTAACCAGATCCCTGAGACTTCTTTTTCCTCTGCATTTATCCAAGTCTCTGTTATTATGTCCAGCAGAGGGCAGACCACCATCTGAATTGTTGGCTCCCAGCCACCTTCAGTAACTGGCACTGACAATCCATCATTAAAACATGATGTATGAATATCATTTTATGATTTTTGATATATTACCATTAGTGTTGCAAAATAATTTAAGTGGCTGATGACTATTATTACTTATAATAATATATAAAGAGGCACTTGCTGCACTTGCTTCAGCTGCACATATATTAAAGAGACACTTGCCACCTGCCTCCTTATCTGAGGTCTAGGCCCAGCCCTGGTGTTGGTTAAGGAATTGAGAACACCTGGTTTTCATCCCCATGGTATGATGATAACACCTTGGGAGTCTGTAACTCATCACTTTTTGGTGTCAGATAACAGAACTCTTACYGCCTATCTCTATTACTTCTACTATGTGCCACCAAAGACAGTAGGTACCTCCCTGGAGTACCTCCTGGTACTCAGGCTAGGTTTTTCACTGACATAGAAATGCTTTTTCTCTGTGCAAACCTCTTGGGGCACGTGCTGTACTCAAATCCAGTGAGATAGGGAGGCAGTTTTCCCAGCCATGCATATGATCTTGAGATTCCCTCACCCCTACATTCTTGGTAGTTATCCAACTGCAGCATTTTCTGGGYTTAGGCATAGTCCTGCCTTGCTAAAAGTTTCCATTCACTTTCTAGTTGTACCCACATTTCATTCCTTGCTCCTCCTTTCTGAAGAGAGTATTCTTCAAAAGGGCAAAACAAGCCCTTCTCTCAAGTCTTTAGTTCCTGAGGACATGCGGGCCAACTGGATGGTCAGGACAGGGCCACCCACACATGAGCAGCCCAGGTCTGTACCTGTTTTATCATTGCTCCCCTTTTTATTTTCTGGTCATGATAAATTTATCTCTGTTTACAGGTCAGATTCCAATAATTCTGTCTTCTTACACTTTTGTCCATTTGACCAGAATTTTTTTTTACAGATTTATTATTAGATATGACCCTTTCTCCTCACTTTTTTCTCTGTTGTTCGAATTTTATGTTGGTTCCTCCTCATACTTTTTCCTTTTTTTTCTTTTTTTGACATTTTTTAGTTGTAGATGGACACAATACCTTTATTATATTTATTTGTATGTGGTGCTGAAGATCCAACCCAGTGCCTCATATGTGTGAGGCAATTGCTTTACCTCTGTACCACAACCCTAAGCCCCTCCTCATACTTTTAATATCTCCCTTGATACTTGTTTGCTTCACCTTTTATCTGTTTTTAAAATAAATTAATTTTTCACAGCATAATACAATATATACCATTAATTTCCCCCTCCCTTTTTTTTAACCCAAATGAATTAGAAAAATAGGTTTAGGTTTAAGGTAATGAAAAAAGTAAACTAAGGTAAACAATCTCATTACACATTACATAGTATTTGTCCTTGCTCCTAAGTGTGGTCCATGGGACCGGCAGCATCAATATTATCCATGAGCTTATTGGAAAAATCGAATTTCAGGCCTTTTGACTCCAGACCTACTGAATCAGAAGCTGGATTTTATCATACTCAGAGATTTGGTTAGTATGTAGAATTACATACATGTTGAAGTTTGAGAAACATTGGTATTGTCCATGTTTCCAGAGATATGTATGTATGTGTTCTTTTAAAGGAATTAAATCTCACTGAATATACCTGTTTTTAAACCTAGTAAACTGTGGAATGTTTTCATTTTCATAATTTTATAATGTCACGTTTGAAAGTTCTATACTATTTTATACTATAATTTACTTAACCATTCTCTTCTAATTACCTTTTAAGAATCTCATCCTCCAAATCATTTCTGTTTTATGGTTATTACTTTATGATTATAAAACCCACATAATTTTCCCAGAATACTTTTTTCAGGCCACAGATATTTTTGTCTGTCCTTTCATATTCACCCCATGTCCTTTTGGAGGTCATCCTTTCCTTTGAAGGGTTCTGGATCTTTTCAGAAGTGACTCCCTCCTCCCCTCAGTCCCCCAGCATGGCCAGAGAGGATTTAGAGCCTGTCTTCCCTATTTATAGTCCTCTTACAGTAAAACCAGAACATTCTGCTTAAAGATATTCCACACTGTCTTCCCACCCCAACCCACAGTTGAATGGCAGGTGTAAAAAGTACCTTTTAATTGTGTATACCCTGTGGTTGCATGGGACTGTAAAAAAGACTTAGACCAGTGGAAATGCTRTGTGTTGGCAGAAATTACTCCAAAGAAATGTCCAGGAAGATGGCCATGAACTGCTTAGGAGAAAGGAGAGATCAGTAATTATCCAGAAGTCAGCTAAAAGTTTTGTTCAACTGAAAGTAGTCATTTTACTCAGTTTGGACTGGACTCCTTTCATGTCAGAATAGAAGGGAATCAGGGTTTGAGGCAAGAGGATTGCTGCTCTGTGTCTAATCTTCCCACTAGCAGGCACTGTTCTGTGAGAGGGAAGGGAGAGAAACTGGAACAAAGTRAAAGAATCACGTAGGAAATTGTCATAATGAAGAGCAGTGGGCACTGGGTATGTTCACATGCAGCCTGCAGACTTGAAGAAGGCAAATTTTAAAAGGTGCAAAAAAAGAAAGGAGGGAAGGAGAATACTGCAAATAGAGATGGAAGAAGGAAGGAAAGATTTAAAAGGCAAAAATCTAACCATGCATCCCTAATGAATGTGGTAAGGGGAAAACACAAAGAACCAATTTAATTTTAAAGTAAAATTAATATGACTACCTAAAAAGTTTAAAAGGATGGTGTATTAGTTGGCTAAAGTTCTTCTGGAGTAAATAAGCCTAGCTAGTTTTAGTTTAAATAGAGAGTTTATTGGAAGGATTCTGGATTCTAGCATTAAGAGTGGCAGGAATCATGGAACCGTGAGGACTCTAGCAGTGGAAGTCAGGGCCTTCTATTCAGAGCACAAGCTAATGTGATTCCATCTTCATATCTCCCCTCTGATGTTTGCTATGTGTGTGTCCGGCTTTCTCTCCTTCCCAGACAATGTGATGGAAAGTCATATTGCCAAATGGTTCTTGAGTGTGTGTCACTGCTCAGTCATTTTGAAAAAGAAGACTCTCTTTTTTTTTCTGGGAAGGAACTAATTGATYCAGTTTGAATCATGTGTTTATTCCTAATCAGCTATGACCAGGAGATGTTGAAACAGGTACAAATATGTTTCCCATCACTGTAGATGGAGGAGGGTAAACAATTCTCAGGAGTTTGCCYAAGCAGACAGACTAGTAGGTTCCTTCTAAATAAGCACATATGTAAAGACAAATAGAACTTACAGGAAAGGTAGAGGCCCAGAGTGTGTTGGTTTGATGAAAAGTGCTAACAATGACTAAAACAACGTGAAGCTGTGAAGGTGAAGGGAAAAATAGAGCCACTGCGGGTGAAACATTAAAATGTCAACAAATGGCTCTGAAGAAGTAGGACTGAGAATTCCAARTTCTTCATTCTGGAGAATCTTTTCAGATAAGAAGGAATAGGCCAGACAAGCCTACAATGACATTCACTACTTCTTTCCCACCTCAATAAACATTCAGAACACTTGCAAAGCTGGTAAATATTACACTTGGCCTTGATTCAAACCCCATGTTATTCTATATCATAATAAATTTAAAGTCAAAAGATCAAAAGATCAGGTTAGGAAGGATCAAAAAAAGATGAAGTGGGTGATACTGTTCATACACATAAGTTTCCAGTAACATAGCTTCCCCAAAAAACATGAAATATGCCCTTTTTGCAATATGTATACTTAACACAGTTTCTGTATTTGGAGAAGTGCATGCCCGTGTGTGTGTGTGTGTGTGTGTGTGTGTGTGTGTGTATAAAATCTAAATAAAATTTGGGAAATACAGAGAAACAAAAATAAGAAAATAAAAGTTAAGCCATAGGTATTAACAGTACTGACTTTCCTGGACATTTTGATGCATTATCTCCTAGGCTCTTTCTCTATGCTCTTGTGCAAGGAGATCTGCTGGCTTTCAGCCCAGTGTTGTTTCCTCTCCTCTCTATTGTATACCAGTGCAACCCAGTCTGGTCTTCAAGTCAGCAGCATCACTATTCCTTGGAACTCCCTAAGAAATACAGCTTATGAGCCCTTGCACAGAACTACTGAATCAAACCTCTTAGGGTAGGCACCAGAAATCTATTTCACAAGGCTTCTGGGTGAWTCAGATGGACATGAAAGTTTGAAAAGCATAGTCTATACCAGTGCTACTCTAAGTGCAGTCTGTAATGGGAACAGATAACAAAAAATTGAACAAAAGTATTTAGAAGTGTTTATATTAATTTGATATGGTTGTGGCATCCAATAGTTTTATTGTATTTTACAAAGGTATCAGTCCACAGTCAACTCCTTTAAAAAGGACAAAAAKGAGGGCTAGGGTTATAGCTCAATGGTAGAGCACTTTCTTAACATGGGTGAGGCTCTGGGTTCAATCCCCAGCACCACATAAAACTAAATAAACAAAATAAAGGTATTGTGTCCATCTACAACTAAAAATATTTTTTTAAAAAAAAGGACAGAAAGGAAATTCATGATTATTGTGCCTGTGGGAAAAGAAAAGAAAGTGAATTTTGAACCTTTATTTTTGTTCTATRTTTTTAAAATATATCCCCAAACACAAGCAAATGAACAAAAACTGGTTCATAGTTTGAGAAGCACTTGTCTACATAGTCCATGTCTCTTTTAAAAAAAAAAAATTGTTTGAAAGAAGAACCTGCTACAACCTGCAACCACCTGCAAAGGCACTTGTAAAATGGATGCTTGCTTGTTTTGCTGGAAGTAAGAAAACTTAATTTGGTGAGGAGGAATAAGCAAGAACTAGAATTTGGTCTCTATCTAGGAATGGAGGGAGCCACAGAAGTTTTTTAAAGCAGAGAAATGGCACGATTAGACTTGCTTTTTATAATGAGCAGATAAGACTGGGAGCAAGAAGCTGAGTTGAGAAGCAGTTGCCATTGTTTAAACAACAGATGATGTTAGCTTAGGACATTGTTGGTGGAAATGAAGAAGAGTAGATACATTCAAGAGATTTCTCCTTTATCTTCACTTCTGTTAAAAGAAAAACTTCTGAATACATGTCAGGAGGTGAGGAGAGAATGAGCTTATTCTATGTTTGGCTATTCCCTATGTAACTCAGTCATGAGAGTTTTCCATAAAAATCCGGTTTCTATGCTATTTATTTAAATAAAAGGATTGGGAAAGTTTGCCKAATGTCTTTTACACTGTTTACTCTCTACTGCCCTTATTTTCAACCAGTGCTTAGGGAGAAGGAGACTTAGCCAAAAAGGGGACTAAAGCATTATCCCCATGTCTGACCCTTTGACTTTACCTGAATGTCTAGAAAGCATGATGCCAATCTTAATTCTGTGCAGAAAATGTGGTTGTTGGCCTTCATCCTGGGTCTTACAACCTGAGAACACAATTTGAATTCTATTTCCACAACAAAAAATCAACCTGAATATTTAATAGAATTTATTAAAAATAATTTCACCAGAAATATACAGGTATAAAACCCGATTAATGAAAACTTTTAGTAGTATTTACTACTTATGATACGTGCTTGCTTATATCACTGTTAATTTCTGGTGATTAAATTCAATATGTATTTTTTRAGGCATCTACTTACTTCCTAGTGTGGTTTATGCATTGATTCCCAGACCCAGACTTAACTGCCCAATAATGGTTTTGATAAATTTGAGAGTTTAACTTGCCTCTTTTTATTTTATCAAGTAAGATCCTAAAACTAACTCATGCATTTTTATGTCTGCTCTCAAAAAGATTAAACAACAATTAATATCAAAAGTAGTAAACAACTAAGATTCTCCATAATTTTAAAAACAATACCATTTCCCAAGGCATATTTTATACATGGTGAAAGAYACAATCTTGAGAAAAAAATTAGAAGTATAAAATATTATAGAACAGTTATTGAAATGAAACAAGTGTGTGAAAAACTCACTGACTTTTATTTTTCACTTTTGGCCATGAATTAGTGAAAATGTCATAAGGGGCTGGTCTGCAGGTACAATTTAGGACCTACCATTCTAGGAGTGGCTAGAAGGGGAAACTCTTGTAATACAGAGAAAAGGAAGGGATAGCCATTAAGGATCTCTTGCCAGAGAAGGTCTCCAGAGACCTTAGAAGGTCTCCAGCGGAGGAAGGTTGGTGGCTGTGGGAGGGGAGACTGTTCTTCAATATTCACTATACCTCCTACCAATCCCCTTGTTTGTTTGTTTGACATATGTAGCCTATCAGCTTATCACTGTGGTGATTGCAGCAGCAGGAGGTGGGCTTCTGCTTATCCTAGGCATTGCACTGATTGTTACCTGCTGCAGGTAAGTGATGAGAGTTCAAATTCTAATCTGTTTCTTTGCTTGTGTGGAAGGGTCAGATTCTTTGTAAGGATCAGGTTTTACTCTTTTAAAGAATACTTGAGGGTAGGAGAGAATGGGAGGGGGCAGGGGATTAGCAAGGGCAGTGGAATGTGATGGACATCATTATCCAATGTACATTTATGAAGACTCGAATTGGGTGTCAACATACTTTATATATAAACAGAGATATGAAAAATTGTGGTATATATGTGTAATAAGAATTGTAATGCAAAAAAAAAACAAAGTACATGTATAAAGGCATGAATTGGCATGAATATACTCTATATACAAAGATATGAAAAATTGTACTCTATATGTGTAATAAGAATTKTAATGCATTCCACTATTGTGTATTTTAAAAAAATAAAATCAATAAAACTAAAAAAAATTTAAATAAAAGGCTAAAAAAAGAATATTTGAGGTGGTTTAAATCATAGTRTGTAACTGAACCATTAAAAAGAAGGAAAAGGGGAAATTCATAATAGTTGGTGCCTAGGGAAAAGAATGGGAATAAATGGTATTTATTTTTTATTAAAAAAGAAAATCCAGCTGGGTATGGTGGCACACACCTGTAATATCAGTAGTTTGGCTGAGTCATGAGAATCACAAGTTCAAAGCCTGCCTCAGCAACAGTGAGGCCCTAAGCAACTTAGCAAGACCCTGTCTCTAAATAAAATATAAAAAGGACTGGGGATGTGGCTCAGTGGTTGAGTGCCCCTGTGTTCAATCCCCGGTACAAAAAAAGAAACAAACAAAACCCACCATGAGATACAACTTTTCACCCAGTAGAATGACTGTTTAAAATAATGAGTATTGATGAGGATGTGGAAAAATTAGAACTCTTACATGTGGTGGGAATGTAAAATGTAAAATAATTATAGCACTTCTAGCCTTAGGTATTATACCCAAGAAAAAATGAAAATCTGTAGCCACACAAAAACTTGTACAAGGATGTTCATAGCAACATTATTCATAATAGCCAAAAGATGAAACCATCCCCAATGTCTACCCACTAACAAATGGATAAACGAAATGTGATGTAGCCACAGAGTAGAATATTATTCAGCTATTAAAAAGGAATGACATACTGATACGTGGATGAACCTAGAAGATATTATGCTAAGTGAAATAAGCCAGTTGCAACAGTTCACCTAGTATGTCATTCCATTTATGTGAGTGGTCTAAAATAGGAAAATCTAGTAGAGAACAGATTAGTGGTTGCCGAGGGCTAGGGCTAGGGGTGGTAATGGGGCAATGAGAGAAAGACAATTGGGGAGTGATTGCTCAGGAATATGAGGTTTCTTTTTGTAGTAATGAAACTGTCCTAAATTATTATGATGATGGTTGCATGATTCTGAATATGCTAAAAACTGTTACATGAATCATATGGTATGTGAATTATAGCTCAGTAAAGCTATGCATATATAGACAGAGAAAAAAAGAAAGAAGAACCAAAGCAGTTACCTGAAATATTTTAGCAATGGAGAAGTTGTAACTGCAGTGTGAGTTGAGCAGTAAATTTATCTGTAGGCTTCCTGGAAGCCAATAGGATTTGGTTTCTGTTGAGGAAGGGTGGCATTGATCCCCCTATCGGTTGAGATAAAGGAAAATTATGACCTTTGATTTATATCCTAATAAATGGCAACAACTATCTATATATAACAGATGGAGAGAACCTACCAAAAGGGCAGTCTTTTCTACCATCAACATTGAAGTTCATTTTAAGATATTCTTTATTTCTAGTAAGAACATGGAGAACAATTTGCATAACTGCCCATTCAGGAATGCAGGTCTTTGCCTATCTTTTACAAAAATGCCATCAAAGATGATACATATGAGGGGGCATGGTGGCACACACCTGTAATCCCAGAGACTTGGGAGGCTGAGGCAGGAGGATTGCAAGTTCAAARCCAGCCTCAGCAAAAGCAAGGCACTAAGCAACTCAGTGAGACCCTGTCTCTAAATAAAATATAAACTAGGGCTGGTTGATGTGGCTCAGTGGTTGAGTGCCCCTGAGTTCAATTCCTGGTACTTCTCCCTGCAAAAAATGATAATCCATATGAGTGGAAATAAACTCCTGGACATGAAACTAGAAGCAGTTACCTAAAGGGTCAAAATCTGAGAGCTCAAAGCAATGTATTCCTCATATCTGTGATGTGTTCAATACCATGTGGTGTAGCCATTTTGGAACAGAGACTGTGAYGTTCATTGCTGAGGAGGGAAGATAATTACGAACAAGTCAGTCATTGTTTAAGACCAGATACCACACCTACAAGAGCAGTAGCAGGTCTGAACTTGCATGAAAGACCAATACCTAAACCACATACTGGACATTTGGTTTTATGACCCTGAGTTATTTTGTAACTTCCCCCAGAAAATTTACTTACAGATGAGTGAGAAGGAAGAAACTTCAGATTATCTTACCCAAGGGAAATATAATTTAAAATTTTCTGGTCCTAGGTCCATTAGCTAAGTGAAGAATTCATATTCCAATAATTTTTATTTAGTGAAACATCACTATGGGATTCCTCTGACCCCCTGAAATCAGAGTATGGAAGAAACTATGGACTATTTTTTTTTTATACAAACAAACCATCCTTTTTTTTTTTTTTTTTTAACGTAATTTGTGAAGTAGCTTCATGTAGTAGAAAGAKCACTGGCTGGAGAGGTGAGAGACCAGACTGAATTCCAGTCCCAGCTTTTCTAGTAGCAAAAGGTAACCCAAAAGACAAGTCAGGTCTCCTCAGTAAGCCAGAGTTGTCCTTTCCCTACAGTGGGTGAGACTTAGACACTTCCATGTAAATTCTGGTGCATAGGCCAGTTGARAGACATTGAACTTCCTTCTGACTCCACCATTCTGTAAACTTTTGATCCTTGTTTCCCTGGAAACCCCCAAGATACAGTGACCTCTGTCCCCTAGGGGAATCTAACAGCTCCAATGTAGCTGTCTTTGTCCTCTCTGCCCCTGCTAATCTAGTCCTTTGGTATAGAAAACTTTCTGCATCTTTTTTGGCACCTAATTGTACTTTTACTTACTCTGGGCRAACACTAAAAATAATAACCATAATAACATTCCTCAGTGGGTAGCTACACAGAAACACAATGATATCCCATAGTCTAATTTTTGTTGGAAAATAATTGGTGTTTTTACATATATAATTTCTTTACAGAACTTAGTCATGGAACTTTCCAAATATTTTCATCCCACAGAAAGAATAAAAATGATATAAGCAAACTTATCTTCAAAAGTGGGGATTTCCAAATGTCCCCATATGCTGAGTACCCTAAAAACCCTCGATCACAAGAATGGGGCCGAGAAGCTATTGAAATGCATGAGAATGGAAGCACCAAAAACCTCCTCCAGATGACAGATGTGTATTACTCGGTGTGTATTCCCCATCCCCAAGAGCAGCCTCAGGGCTCCAGTCTCCTCTGAGAAGTTAAATTCTGTTTTGCTGTAGTAAAAGCATTATAACTAGTTAAAGKTTCAAGAGAATGATGGAATGAGCCTCTTACTTGCATATTTTAACACTCAGTTTAATTATGATCTTTTTGCATGATACTTATTAATTTTGGTGTTGAGATAAGGCTATTTCCATGTAGCACATTACTTTATGGGATTGTAAGCAGTAACCCATGAAATTCCTTTTTGAGTTGTAGGRATGAAAACTAAAAGCTAGAGAAAAAATTTTTTGATAGTAAACCCTTGAGCCTTTTATTTTTATTTCTTTTCTGCCAACCTTTAGCTTGCTTTGTGTAATTAGGTATTTAAAATCTGGGGTTGGAAAAAGGCATGAAGAAAACATTTCAACATCATCCCCAACAAGCACTTTTCAGAGGTTTAGAAGATTATAAAACTCAGGAAGTATTAAATAATTTGCTCTGTCCATCCCTGGRTATTTAATTTGAGAAGACAGGACAATACCTTGAGCTCCTGCTTCTCCTGTCCCACATTGAATTTAACCCAGGTCTTATTCCTCTATACTGCCAGTTCATTTCATGTTACACTGTGTCAACCATAAAGCAAATACAAACTGGGCTATCTGAACTGAAAACTAAACATGTCAGGTGACTTCTCATTAGTTTGAGGTATAGCAATAAACATGAAACCTTGCCCTGTGGAGACTTAATGGCTCTAGACAGTCCTGTTACAGGAACCACAATCCCTCTGGTTGCYATAGGAATTGACCATGAGGATCAGACTTTGGATGGGAGGGGCAGGTTTGTTCATGCTAAGAAGTTGTTGGTTTCAACTGGTTCTTTGAAAATTTTGAACCTAGAGAAAGAACAAGAAGAAATAAAAAGGAAATAAAAAGAAAGATAAATATCTCCAACATAGCTCTAGTTAAAATGTTTCCATTGCTTTCTATATAGAGCTCTGTTTTTCCTCTGACAGAAAAGCCCTTTTCCTTTCTTAACTGTAGCCATAACTATACAAGCATTTTACCCAGGCATGAACCCACATCCTTTGTAGGGACTCCTGAGCCCCAGCATCATGTGACAACTGGCAACAAGTAGACCTCCATGTGGTAGGACCCAACTTCACTGCATGTTTCCTTGGAATTAGCTGAAGAGTTGTCTTCAATAGATTTAGTTAAGCACTTAAATGAGCCTCATTTTCACTTCAAAACAGTAGGCTGAACAGTGTATAGAAAGAGAGCTTGGGCTTTATAGCATGGAACTGTCACCTGAGTAGATGAGCTGTTCCTTGGKAGGCTCAGGGGTGGTCTGGGTGATTCCCACATTGGGCTCTTATGGGATTTGAGTTTATAATGTGCAGTATCCAGTGCTTTATTTCTACTGAGAARGCATTTACCTGTGGTGCTTCAATGAGGGTCTCCTCAAAGTAGCCTCTGTTATTCCCATGGAGCTTTTGTGCAGATCAGGTAGGTAGTTCATGACCCATGAAACTAGTATTTGGTCAGAGACACTTGAAAATTGCTGTTGGCCTACTGGTTTGGGGGTCCTTACTCCATCCTGGATGTGGTCATAGGACCTTGCAAAATTTGTGTCAGTTGCTSTTTGTGAAGTGACAGGGACAGTAGCCTTCTGCTAAATGCCAGGGAGGACTTGAGCTGCTTATATTCCACAGAGAAAGATACTTTWAAAAATTAAGAATCAGTATACTCACTTCATACAGGATAAACCCAGGTCCTTTACTTTATTGATATAAATTTACTGGATGTCCTTAATATTTTTAATCCCCTTTTTAAATAGGGGCAAATGTAATGTATCCCATGTTCCATAGAGACCTGTGATGGTCCCTACCTATAGATCAGACCTTGCTCTGCTATTTATAGCTACCTCCACCTTAAGTTTATGAAAATGTAGAATGCTTTTTTTTGCACTTAAATTTAAACCCAAGAATCACTAATTGAGTTTTCTTCTTTTCTCTTTGCAACCAGCCTACAAGTGTGAGAAATCCTGAACTTGAACGAAATGGACTGTACCCTGCCTACACTGGATTGCCTGGATCACGGCATTCTTGCATTTTCCCTGGACAGTATAACCCATCTTTCATTAGTGATGAAAGCAGGAGAAGAGACTACTTTTGAGTCCAGGAAAGAAAGGGGCCCATCACTCTGAACTAGTTTCCCAGGACTTCTGTGGCTCAGAGGATACTCTGGCTGCTCTCAGGACTTATCAGAGCCATGCTTAAGTGGCAAGCAGAAAAGAGACAGGCACAAGGGGCATGACCACAATGGAAGGGGACAGATGGATGTGGAACTGCAGACTGCTTGTTCAGCACCTTTGTTGTTACTGTGAACATGAACATGGGCCAGTACCAAGAGAGTTTCTGAGTGACTACAACATAGCACTGGCAGTAGGGGCAATCATTAACCATAGCTAGGTATCATTGTGAGGACCCAATTTTCCCTTAGTTTGCACTTTAGTAAATTGGGCAGGGAGGTTTCCTGGATTTGTTTCAAGATGGTTCAGGAAAGAAGGTTTCCTTTCCTGAGACACTTCCATAGGCCCCAATTTGGTGATTAATTTGTAGCTAGATGCTAGCTCTATGTTTTCCTGCTCCGTGCCTATGTGCTAAACAATAGCTGGGGATAAACATACCACTAAGGTTTGAAGATGCTAAAGTTGAATGTACAGTATTTTAAGATTTCCATGTCGTTGTATACTATGGTTTCTAAATCAACCTCCCAAAATCAGGAATTGACATTTGTGAGGCACAACACACAACTTCCATTTGTATTTCAAGGCAAGGTGGCACATTTATTTAAGATGTCCACTCAACTTTGGCAGTTAAATCTCACCTTTTCAAGCAAGTCTGCATCAGGCCAAAACAATTTATACTTGGTTTTAGTTGGAGACATCCACTGGCCCCTAATGAGGCCCAGCAGGCAGAATTGGGAGTTTACGCTATAGGCAGTGGGGYACTTTCCATCCCTGAGGACTTTTCATGAGGTCTGGGACTCTGACCACCATTGTGGAGACCAGAGGCTACAAAGGATGGGATGGAAATGGAGAGTTGAATGCTGGTAGGGTCTTAGCTGTTATTTCACCAGTAAAGGAAAAGCAGTGTGCTGTCCCTGCAGCAGAATGTGGTTAGAGGAAGGAGCTGAATAGGCATGTTGGTTTCCTAGATYGCCAGTGTTTGGGAAGCCATGGGAATTCCTGTGGGAAGAATAGGAACCTAGGATGGAGCCTCAGATAAGTGTGCTAACCTGCTAATCTTTATATCCATATCCTTATCCACAAACTCACTATAAACCTCAGCCACTCAGAGCTATTTATTCATTGAAGAACTAACTTATTTTCTCAAATCCAATCATTTGTACCTCTTTATGTGACTGTGCAGTATCCCCTGGAAACACAGTTGTAGTTCAAAGCAGCATTGGAGAACTACATCCTGGCAGGTTAGTGATCTGAGAGTTTGCTTTTGGGAAGGAGATTCTACATGTCTTATTTATCGTGCCTGTGATATGGGTCCTGCAAAGGAGGCATATTCAGCACTCAGTGTCTCATTTATCTGCTTATGGAACACCTGATTTTGGATGAAGTGATGGGAACACAGAGGTAAAAGAATTGTTCTCACCCTGAAGCTGGGAGTTAAATGGCACGCATTTCTGGAAATGGTACAACTGTTGGGACAATTCTGCCCTGGGCATGGTTGTTTCTTCAGGGCTCTCTGATTTCTTCAAAGCACATTCAGTTCTCTCCCTAAGTGTGGAGTCTTATGTCCCTTGGTCTCTGCAACTCACCATCACCTGCTATAGCAGGAATACTTGAAAGGGGCAATGAATTTTAACGGTTAAATTGCACCTATAAATATAAAAATAATTCTGTTATCAATGGATGTTAACTTAAAATTTCAAAGTATCACCGTCTTGAAACTTTGGGTCTTGTATCTCTGTGGAACCAAATGGCCTTTTGTGCCTCACTGCCTCCTATCCAACTGGAGAGCTCCGAGCTCCTGCACTCAGCTCACCTGAGCCAACAGACTTGGATCCCTTGTGAGGTGGACTTGCTCCACCTCTTATGCAGCATCCCTGTTATTCCCTAGGCCCCACAGCTATGGGAGGAGCCACCATAGAAGCTCTTTCCTGACATGTATTTCTGCTGCCTTGAGCTGATGTCACAGCTGGCAAATCATCTCCTATCTCAGGGTCAGAAGCCTTAAGTCCCACAAAATGAAGTGTTTAAAGAGCATTTTTGGGAAGAATCCCAAAGTCCAGAAAAGTGTGTCCTTTGAGTTCCAAAAGTTGTTTGCCTCTTCGTGGCTTTTGTCAAGTGTTGAGTGTTTCATTGATTAAGGGTGTTTTGTTGTTGTTGTTGTTAACTGTGAAAAAAAGCACCAAACAAGGTTGAGTTCACACCATCTCTACAATTTCCAGGAGGTATGGGATGTAGAAAGCATCCTGAGGTTTAAGAAAGCATGAAAAGGAGCATGYATGTTGTCCAGTGCTAACAACATCCTGGATGAGGAAGCCAGGGACTGGGTCTACTCCTGTTGAGATTAATACCTCTCTTGTGCCAAGAGAAAATAACTGGTATGGTGTTAGCCGCCCATGGACAGAACAGGTCTGGGTGTGTGTACACCTGACATGGGGATCTCAATCAGGGAGCAAGAGCTTAGCATCAGCCCTCACACCTGGGATGCACTATTCATGTGCAYAACAATGTCATGGTTCCGCATTGTAACCCCACAGCTAAGGGAAAGTGGGAGGAAGGGAAAAGTGACACTGACTGCCCTCAAAATGCTTCTGTAGGGAAGAGTCAGGCCAGGTGGGACCTGTGTGTCCTGGAATATGATAGAGCATGACTTAGGGAGGGGTTGACTTCCTGGGTTCCCAGTATCCACTCTGGGTTTTGTTTAGGCTCCTAAAAGTCCTATTTCCATTTTTTCCCCTGTTTGCTCCATGAACTATTTCTTTAGGAGGATAAATAACATCTTTCATGTTCCTGCCATGACCAGGCTCCATAYAGGGTACTTGGCTTCACAGCATCCTTGTTAGTTGACCATGAGAGCATTTATTTCCTCTATATAGAAACCTTCAGAGAGGACAATTCTGTAGAGGCAGAATTCAAGTCCTAGTCAGCCTGACTCACCCTGTTGTTCTTTCCACTAGGTCTCCCTGCCTCACCTTCCTGGCAGGCATCTCACCATGCRGTGTACTTTAAATGTCAATGAGGACAAGAGAGATTAGACTTAAAAATAAATTATTTTTAGAGAAGCTTAATATTAAACAGTATCCTAACTAATGACATAAAGTGCAAAAAAGTGTTGAATATCCTTTTGAAGATGTCCTTTCAGGTTGGTGTGTGTATATATATATATATATCTTGGGTGCTTGTGGTCTCATTAAGAAAATAGTGGCTGGCTTATGCTTGGCAAGAAGCATATTGGTATGTGTCTTTGGCAGAAGGAAGTTAAGGTGATGATCTGGGTAGGTTTTTGACAAGCACGGCCAGACACACTTCCTTTGGAGGGCTGTCTTGTTCCCATAGTAAGACCCACCATGGCTCCCAAATATTGGGAGAATATKTTTTGTGAATCATCATCAGCTTTGGGAACATAGTTTAAATGCTGATAAACCTTGCTCCTTTAAGGGAAAGGTAATTTTCAGAAGCAGATAAGTTATTTAGAGCCAGAATTGCTGACTGGATGGTGCAGTCAAACTGGATGATGGTAGTTAAGAAGATCAAAAAGTAAGATGTGACTATTGAGTTTTGGAAGAGGTAACTCTTAGAAGTTGGCCCATAGGAGAGGGCAGCATCTTTGCAATAAGGGGCTGGATTGCTACCCAAAAATGTCTGTGAAAGATAATAGCTGTTCAGATGTGAAAGTTGTAGAGCAGTCATGTTTAGGGTGCCCCCTTCCTCACACAAGGCTTCATATGCTTCGTTAAGCTACTTTGCCCACTGGTAAAGTGCTCAGGTGCACTTCAACTCATTGACTTTGCCTGAAGAAGTAGATCTGTATAGTGAACCCAAAATTAGACTTTGATCCATAGTTCTAAAATAAACTTTGACTTTGGGACTAGAAGACCTGAGCACTTCTTTGGAGAGAAGAAGAAAGCAAAATTAGTATTTCAGTATTTTGTATCTTATTAAAACTGCTCTTAATATCAGAGATTATTTTTTCTATCTGAAAGCTTTTGTGGAGGTAGGAAGGGGCATTTCATTTCATTTCTTCTTGATGAAGCATCATTCTAAGATTCTTGTGTGCRTTTTTGGAAACAAATAGGGTTTTATAGAGTTCACCTTTGAGTAGGTGTTCTTTTTCTTAAAACCCCAAAGAAGAAACTAGTAAAAAATGGTAGTAACATTAAATGACAATTAATTTGTTCTTCTAAAGTATYTTAGTAATCTTATATTCCCTATCTGATGTAAATTTTAGCTCACAGAAAAGCCTGTGAAACCAAAGGAGACTATTTAATTCTAAAAAGAGACAGATCCTAGACTAGATCTGTCCCATGGGCATTTTCAAGACAACATTTCAAAGGAGTTTGCTATTAGATTCTGTTTTTATAATTTTTAAATGATATTAGTGTACTTCAGTGCAAAGTCCCTGGGTGGAAAGGGTGGGATAGGACAGGGATGGGACGTAACCAGTTTGTCTGGGAAACTGATCCAACTCACTTACCTTTCTGTATTACCTAGACTTGTTCTAAAAAAAAAAAAAAAAAAAAAAATGATTGTTTCATGAAGAGTTGCTGTGAGTTTTTTAAATGTTTGTGTTGCTGAAATTATGGTTAAATGGAGCATGTAGTGGAAATATGAACTTTTTGAGTTTTCATATTGTCCTGGATTTGTGTTTGTAAACCTTTAAACTTAGCCCCTGGTTGATTGTGCTAAATCCATTATGAGAATGTTATTTAAAGTTGTATTATAATTGCAGCCTTCACTAATTATTCAGTACTGTGGTAGCAAAGTATTATTTGTAARAATTCGGTTATTTTTCTACTTGTATCCACTATAAGTCTGGCGTTCTAGTCAGTAAAATGATGCAATAAAATGATATCGTTCTCATTTTGTGGTTTTATCTTAATAATAAGTAAACTAACTGGATCACAAGTTATTTTTTATGAGGGCATTTGCTTAAACAATACAAATGTACAGTGAACTCCTGCACAGCAAATGTAGGCAGTGGGTCATTTTCCTACCCTCAGTGCCCAGAAGGTGGGACACTGTTGATGATGGATGGATAGATGGATGGATGGATGGATGGATGGATGGACGGACAGATGGAAGGACAGATGACTCTAAATGATAAAAGGCCTAACTTGGATATAAACACCTGCTTCTGTTTTACATTCCTCTCTGAATTGGAGGACATAAGTAACCAATTCAGACATTGGGAATTTCCTCCTGAATGCCTCTTTCTACCACTCCATGCCAACTCCTTACATCTTGGAGGAGAARGAAAAGTATATCTGTGCTCTGATGGACAGGATTTATGGAACTTTAAGACAGTGGGCCATGGACCTTACACATACAGGGGCCAAGGAATATGGCTGCCTGGTTAGCTATATGTTCAATCRTTTCCTTGGATGCCTCACATGACAGGGACAATTGAACTTTTCACCTGCTTTATGGCAAAAACCTCAAAAACCTTGGCACTAGGAGAGGCCAATGATAGTAGCTTGATCCATGGAAGTGACTTTTTGGCAGATTATATTAGAGAAGTGGCCCATCAAACATTCCTGAATGGTGCTGACTGGCAAC